CCATTACAAATCTTGAGCAATTCCAGTGTGCTTTTACTGTGCATCCCATAATGAGCATCCCATAATGTGCCCCATATTGCTAAGGAGTAATGCTCCTCAGTTTGAGCCAATCCCACTAACTCATCTTGATGGGTCACACATTTAGATAATGGCACTGAGACCTAGAGTGTCCATTCCTTTCAGTACTTTGAGTTCTCCACCTTGTCATTGTGCCTCTGTGCTCTTCTGGGCTTGTGGAGCCTTTAATGGGCTGACCACCCTCCTGTTATTGTCCTGGGACTAGCTAGCTGAGGGCATTAACTGGGTTCCCCGCTTGCCATTGTCTCTTTGTGTTCCTTTGTGTGTGTGCGGCCTGGGATTTTACCACATAATCTAACACCTCCTATCCTTCCTGTTGCACCCCAGTAGCAAATCCTTCAAAGACTGTTTGGAGGAAGGGGAAGAGCACAAAGTCCCAGAAGAAGGTGGACAAGGTTGTCCAGTCTGCGCTTGATGGAGACTTTCTGAAAGCATGTAGCCAAGGGACAGAAGGAAGAAGGTCTCATGAAGAATCCACAATCAGCCCAAGGAGGTGGTGAGCTCCCGAGAAGGTAGTCCAATTCCTGGGACGTAGAAAAGAATGGGAAGGGGAGAGGTAGAGGTTTGCAGAGAAAGAGGCAAGAAGTGAAGACACTCCTCTGAAGCCAAGTATGTGCATCCCAGTGCAAACTCATGACTAAATGAAAATGATCATGCAGGTTGGGGAAAAGGATGGGAGATTGGAAGGCTGTATGCCTGGGTTTCCTGGGGGGAGTACTGAGGTCTCTCTGGCTTAGAGTGTGAAGAAACCTGTCAGCTGTCTATAGTGCTGAGTTCTCTGCGGACAGATGGGTCTACAGGGAAGAGAGACACCAGGATTCCCTTGGAAGATAGTGTGTAGCAGAGGGAAAAATTGCTTTGTTCATCTGATGTAACCAGAAAGGTTGAAGAAGTTTTTTGATTTATTGGTAACACATAGTTAATAGGCAATCAGTGACCTATTTGTTCAGGATCCGCATCTGCACTACAACAGAAGAACCACCTTACAAGATACCTGGGAAATGCCAGTAAGTTCCTACAAATATCTAAACACTTTCCCATTAGCTAATCCCAGAAAATTCTAATCACTCACACACACACAAGTGCATGCACACTCAGACACTTACACAGGCATGCCCTCATCCATATGCACCCATGAATACAGCTACAGGTACTCCCTCCACCCTGTCCCCCTGTGGGTTACAAGCATACACCCGCTCTGCTGGGAATGCAGATTCTTCCCTCCCACACCACTCCTGCTGTGGATATGGGTGCTCCGGTTTTTGTTGTCCCCATGCCACTCCCTAGAAACTCCTAACACACTTGCTGGTGAGAATGCCCCCTTACAGGGTCATAGACACCTGGTAGCAGTTTGCCGGTGGCATCCACCTGGATCTGATACTGGAGCTAACTTTGGTTAGCATCTTTATTAGCAACCCGGATGGTGGAACAGAGTGGAGTTTCAGCAAGTTTATATGATACTTGATTGAGCAGGAAGCAGGTGATAGGCAAGAGGGAAGAACTTCTATAGAGGGTGCTGAGATGTACTAGAGAAATGGGCTGGAAGGAGACTCAGGATGCTTAAAAAGGCTGATGAAAATCCCTCTCCTCCAGGATAGAACAATGTCCCCATGAAACAGGACAGGACAGGGGCTGCTTGGCTAGAAAGCAGTTGCTGGAACCCAGTCCATTTCACCCAGCGAGCCAGTGTCCTCTGTCCTCATGCATTCACGTAATGGCATGAAGGAGACCAGGAGGGTAAAATCTCTCCAGCTGTAAGTGAAGACCAGGTTCGGGATCTCCTGAAGAACCTAAACATACAGAAGTCCATGGGACCTGATGAGATGCATCCCAAAGTCTTGAGGGAAGTGGCTGTGTAGTTGTCAAGCAGCTGTCCATCATATTTGAAAAGTCATGGCAGTCAAGTGAAATCACTGGTGACTGGAAGAAGGGAAATGTTGCACCTGTATTTAAAAATGGTAGAAAGGAGGACTCTGGGAACTACTGACTCCTGCACCTGGGGAGGAACAACTCCATGCATCAGTACAGGCTCGTGGTGGACCTGCTGCAGAGCAGCTCCGCAGAGAGGGAACTGGGACTGCTGGTGGATGTCAGGTTAACCATGAGCCAGCAGTTTGCCCTGGCTGCCAAGAAGGCCAATGGGTTCCTGGGGTGCATTAAGAAGAGTGTGGCCAGCAGGTCGGGGGAGGTTCTCCTCCCTCTCTACTCAGCCCTAGTGAGGCCTCATCTAGAGTATTGTGTCCAGTTCTGGGCTCCCCAGTTCAAGAAAGATGAAAAGCTACTGGAGAGAGTCCATCAGAGGGCTACAAGGATGATGAGGGGACTGGAACATCTCTTGTAGGAGAAAGGCTGAGGGAGCTGGGCTTGTTTAGCCTGAAGAAGAGAAAGCTGAGAGGGGACCTTATAAATGCCTACAAATATCTGAAGGGTGGGTGTCAGGAGGATGG